GCTGAGGCTCTACCCTGGACAGGTCTTTCACTCCCAACAATTTAGGAAAAAACTCCTACTTGGAATAGTTACTGCCCTAATACATAAGACATATTTCCACTATTTGCTAATCCTAAAAGCAAGTAATAATGTGAGTAGCATTTTAAAAGTAGTAAGTAAAACATATACGAGTCATTCTGCACATTTCAGCTCCCTGGTCTGGGTGAAAGTGGATGAGTTGGGACAGGGGCAGGAGAGACGTGAAGAGGTGGCTTGGGAGATGGGGAAGGCAAACGGTCAGATGGTGAAAGGCAGCAGATAAAAACAAAACACAAAGGATTTAAAATGTATTTAAGGCAATTTAACTTTCAGTAGCATTGTGTTGCCTCTTCTGACAAGTAAACCCTGAAGACATAGCCAGATATTCTAGTGCAATAACTAAGTAGTCCTACCTATGAACTTTTGTAATAACCACACCACGAGTTAGTAAATTCTTTGGCTTTGAAGTTTATTCAATCCACAATTTGGTTATTTCTGCCATAAACAGGGTTAATAACCTAAAGTATGTTTATAGCTGTATTACAGCTGCCAATGTTATTTGCTGTGCAAAAGGCCACTCTTATGTTGTTGGGTTTTTCCCCCCCCTAAAATAAAAGTAAATAACTCTAATCATCTGGTAACTTCTGAATGGTGGTCTCAGAACTCACCCATGCCTTTGGGATTAAGTGGCATCCTTGTCCCACCCTCAGTTTAGGCTGAAGGATTCAGTGGAGCCCGGTCAGGGAGCGCAGCGCTACTGGTTTGTACCACACCTTTGGTTGCTTCTGAGTGGGATCCGAGATGTTCTCCAGAGTCACAGGCCACGACGAGTGGCCCCCATGCCTCCTATCCTATTTGCAGCCCCTCACCCAGCTGCTGCTTTGCAGAGAATAATCAGAGGGAAGAGTGTATGGCCTGCAGGTCGCTTTGCTGTTTTAGCCTGTGGTGGTTGTTTTCTCCCCTAAGGCAGCGAGCAGAGAGCGTAGAGCATACATTAATGAAAACCTCAGATGTGTGTGGGGGAGAAAGGTATGGAGGAAGAAAGGGGTGCAGGTGTAATGTCAGTGAGGATATGGAGATGCAGCTGGTGTGCAAGAGGAGGTGCGCGTGTGTGCGAGGAATGCTTTTTTTGGGGGGAGGTGTGGTTTGGTAATAACACTGGGTATGCACCTGAAGGAGCTGAATGAGAGGAGCAGTGGGTAAATGAGTGGGCAAGAGCTTGCCTTTCAATTCTGGACTGAACTTCTTTCCTCTCTGTGCAGCCTCCACAGCACCCCTCTAAAGCATCAGACCATATCATTCAGAAGAGGGGAAGGAGCGATGGGAACCTCCATTCCTCTGGTTTTAGAGGAACCCTTGAGTTGCAACCACTTTGCAAATGATTGGGACTACCCCAACTGGATTGAACATAGTTCATCCCCTGTGGTATAAGTCTTTTTCCGGAACAATCACAGAGTTAACAGCGACTGGCTGAATTTCACAAGCTGCTGTGCATTTATCAGAGACAAAAGCAGTGCAGAAGAAATCTATCTTGAAACAATAAAGTGCTTAAATGCACTGCTTACCACCTCCTACCCACCTCTGAGACCAGGTTCTCGGCTGTCAGGGTCAACAGATCTAACAGATCTTTGTTCTTGAATGAAGATTTTCCCAACTCGTGTCAGAGCTCATCTTGTATGGATTTTCCTCCAGGCTTTTCAGGTGTCTCCAGGCCACCAGAGAAGACTGACACTTTCTATTTTTCCTTTAAGTCCTGTTACTCGTGTTAAGGCTTTACAGTAACTCTGCTCCCAACACCCAGGGTTAGTCTAGAGCACACAGTTTGGGACTGAAGGAATCTCCTGAGCCATCAGGTCTTGTGGCATGTTACTATACACAACCACATTGCTTTGGTCCTTTTGGAAATGTGAAGAGCTCCATCCTAAAGGGTTTTTTTTGCCCTGTTATCTCTACAGAAAATGTTTTTCAAATGATAAGTTCTCTTATGTTTAGAAATCATCTAATTTTTAGTTTAAAGGTATTAATGGGCAGTCCATATCCATTTGTTCTTGAGGAGAACACCCATGATACACTTAGCGTTGATAAAGCAAGATTTTAAAAATATTCCCTGTGCCTGGAATCTCCATTACAATTTGGCACGAGGGTCCTTTGCATTTCTTAGCTCCCACGGGTTCACATTGGCCCCACGGGAAATGGATGGGTGCACTGGCTGCGAGGAGAGATGGGCGTTCTGATGGCCATGGGGGATTTTGATGCCGTGCGGGAACCTGGCATTCAGGGTGCCGAACTGATGGGAGTGCGGGCTGGCGATGGCTGCACACAGCAGGCGGGAGGCGAAGGCGCTGGGGGTGACTAGATGTGGGCGCTCCGGCCGTGGCCGTGTCGGCGTGGATGGGGACACGGGGGAAGGGGCTGGGAATGGGGATGGCCAGTATGGTGGGGTGTTTTGGGGGAAGGGGGTACGGGCCGGTCTCAGCATCTTGAGGATGCAAAGAGCCATTGGAGGGGCGCGTGGGTGAGGCGGGCAGGGGAGGGACGGGGGATGTGGGACCGCTGTGGGGACGGGGGCGAT